GTCGAGCGCCCTAACCACCTGGCCATGCCGGGCCCTAGGTATTTGTGCTAGGCGTTGCCGTGTTACCAAGCCTTTTAGGATAATTTCAGATACAAGAAACGAAGATTATATTTTAATGGATCGGTACAATCAAGCGTATTGATCACTCGGAGTGCTTACAGAGTAGCGTACTGGGCTGCAGGTCGAAAGGTCCAAGGTTCGCGCCACGAAGCCTCTGCCTGGATGCCTTTCTTTTGGTCAGTAGTTCAAAATTAGAGACGGCTATACCTGAATCCTAGGAATCTCCGACCTAGACGTTTAGCACACGTGCGCATAAAGGTGTTATTCAGACAAAAAAATTCCAATTCATCACATTAACAAGTGTTAATTGTGCGTTTATACGTATTACTTGAATAATTAATCTGTTTGGAAATAACAGTTGTTTTGTGTATGTGTGTGTGTGTGTACGGGAGGTGATAGAGTTTTATAGGTTTTCTTGCAAAAACGGGAACTCAAATATCCAAGAAAGAGACGAGATATCGAAATCCTTCTCGACGTTTATTGAGCTCCAATAAGTAAGAACGCGAATAATGTCGAAGCTTGTTGCAGCTGGCGTTTTTGTGTGTGTGTGTGTGTCAGGCAGTTCTTGTCACGAGTGCACCATTGTATTCTTTTTTAAGTAAAAAAACAACAAAAACACTATTGGTTCTGATATGGTCTTGAATTTAGATACCAGGTTTTCCAACTGACAAACTGGGACTATTTTTTTTACATTCGTTTACATTACAGTTTAAATTACAATAGCACTCTTTTTTTTACCATTTGCTAAATATTATAATGTTTGTTGCATTGCATTCTAAAACCAGAGACAAACAAAATGTGTTAAAAGCTTATCTAGTTAAAACTCACAATAAATAATAATTAAAGGGCCTGTCCTCGAAATGTGTTACTTCGTTTCTTTTTCGCTGCTGGGTAATTCCTGCGACTGCGCAATGAGAGGTTAGGTTAAGAAAAAAGTAGCAGAGAGGTAGAGAACATTGTTCCGTTTGATTTGTCTTTGCAAGGTGATTCTTCAAGTAAAATTTAAAGGAGTCGTGCATAATTATGAACCGTAAATATCACACTCACATTGAGTTACATAGGAACTGGGACAATTTAATAGTTTTATTGTTTCTGTTTGTTTGTTTTGAATTTCGCGCAAAGCTACACGAGGGTTATCTGCGCTAGCCGTCCATAATTTACCAGTGTAAGACCAGAGGGAAGGCAGCTAGTCATCACCACCCACCGCTAACTCTTGGGCTACTCTTTTACCAACGAATAGTGGGATTGACCGTCACATTATAACGCCCCCACGGCTGAAAGGGCGAGCATGTTTGGTGTATTGTTTCTAATCGGGACAATATAAAAATAGGCTAAAAACAGGGACGATCCCAGTTTTGCTGAGACGTCTGGTAACCCTAGTCTTTAATCTTGGTTTTAGTCCATAAGATTCTATTGATAATATACAGTATGTGCAGTATACTCTTATCTGAAAGCGATTAAAGCGATCGTTACACAGCAACACACCTAAATATAGACCAACTACTGATCGTTGCATAGCAACACTACCTAAATATTAACGACTTAAAGTAACCTTGATGACAAGATCTTGAAGCGTATATATTACGCTGATATTTACATATATATATTTTTAATGCTCGTTCTACGTGTCTTTATCAAGTTTGAAAGCAGCGGTTTGAACTCAAATATCAAGTAAACTGACGTTCTAATAGCATCTATCGATTTTTCTTTATACACCATTACATGTACCATTCGATTTAAAATACATCCAGTCATGGCGCTCGACTCGCAATCTGGGGGTCGTGGGTTCGAATCCAATCACCGAATATATTCGCCCTTTCAGCCGTGGGGGCGTTATAATTTGACGGGCAATTCCCCTATTCGATTAGAGCAGCCCAAACTAGATACAAAGCAGTGCTGAAGATCTGAGTATGAAGGAGGCATATAATACTTTTGTCTTTATTTCCGAAGTAAAAATGAATTTAAGAAAAACTGTTCAGTGCGAAACAGAGCTACGAAACAAACCTACCAGGTCATAGTTAGTTAGCACCTTTAACTATTACTAAGTGATTATAAGTTCGAGAGTTTTGTGAAGAGTAACTTCTTTTTATCAAGAAGCACTGTGAAACACTAAAGGATCAAGGTAGCCTCGAACCTGCCAATTTTGTAACTCGGAGAATGTGAAAAGGGGGGTAAAATCTTCAGGGAAAAGGACAAAATGATGAAAAAGGAGTCAGAGATTCAGAGAAAGGTCAGGGAAAGTTAAAAAAATATATTCTAAAAGTTGAAATAGAAGGCTAATCTCGTGCCTTCGCCCATTTTTAACTCAAAAACTGCACGCGCACGTTGCTTAGCAATATTGCTATATATATATATATATTTGCCCCCTAGTGGCACAGCGGTATGTCTGCGGACTTACAACGCTAGAAACCGGGTTTCGATACCCGTGGTGGGCAGAGCACAGATAGCCCTAGTGTAGCTTTGTGCATAATTAAAAACAAACAAACAATTGCTATACTTTTAAAATAATCTAGGTCATTCTCTATACGTCACTCTTTCTGGTGATAATTTTTTTAGTTCATTATAGCTGACGATAGGTTAGATTTAAAAACAACAACATTTTATTGACCACCGTCAAGTTGCAATGTCCCTGTTTAAAGATATTTTTTTCTGTAGTAAGCAGTTTGATGTAAGTATGTGATGGAGGTTTTTTTTTTATTAACCGTTATGACCAGATTACGAGCTTAAGTGGGGATGATTAGATAGAGTTATGAGGAAAGGCTGAAATGTCAAAGTGCATGTGCAGGTCTGGAAAATCTGGTATTTTGCCCACAAAGTCAGGAGGAAATTTTAGAAATCATGTAGATGAATAAGTTGATCAACGGATAGATTGAAAGACAGACGACTGGATAGATAGACTAACCGATACATAGAATGAGAGAAAGACTGTTCGATAGACAACCGGATACACTGATGGACAGATTACTAGAATGACAAATACATAAATTGATAGACAGTTTGCTGGATGGACCGTTACACAGACAGTTAACCCTAACATCTTGCAGTGTATTTATGTGCATAGCTGTAACACTGGTTCAAGTACATCCAAACATGGAAGTGTTCACCGTTTTTTTTTTTTTCAGGCTACCCAGAAGACTGCTAACGGTGACCTCACCAAATACGTTGCTCTTGAACAAACCAATGAGGCCCTCCGCTCACGATTGGAGGAGTTAGACGGACTTGTTAATCAGCAAAAACATACAGTAAGTAATAACGCTTGGAGACGGCTTGAATGAGCAATGAAGAAAAACTTCAATATACGTTTAACATAACAGCAAATGTACAACGTTTCGACAAGGTTTTGTCATCATCAGGTACAAGTATATAGTAACATTGTCCGAAGCGCCACTAAATACTACAGTACTTGTGTACTTGTTACTGATAAAGACTTGGAATGTTAAGGCAAGACAGTTGCCTATAACTTCTTCACAGTGGGGACCTGTTTATGTTTATGATGGATTCTTAAAGATGAAGCTAAAAATCCAACAGTCATACAGTTAACGAACGTGCCACTTCGTTTTGTTGTGTAATTTCCGTATTTTTTATTGCAAAATATTACACGAAACCCCCCGCAAAGGCTAAGGTTAGCACTGGCTATTCATAAGTCAATGTAAATTAGGAACAAGCACGAGCAGTGGCGACGTCAGGTGGGGGCGAGAGCTACCTTAAATATTTGTTTTATTCCTCAAAAATTTCCACTAAAAGTTTCAGCTCACACAATGCCATACCTTCACACACACACACACACACAAACCCCGCCCGACTAAACATCATCCAATCCCTGGCTAGTCCTGGTTTACCCTCGCATCCAATCAGAGTATGAACTGAAAATATTTGAAAGCTGCCTATTGTGATTCACCTTGGTAAGTTTGAGTTAACTAAGACAAAAAAAAATCGACGTAAACATTTCACAGCAAAAATATCCCCACTGTAGAACCTCCCAGTTTCTTCCCCATGTTTCTTTTTACCGTGTTTTTAATATTTATTATAAAACTTTGTTTTCCACCTGATGTATTAGTTGCAAACTTTTTATTTATTTATATTCCAGCTGTGTTGAAATAATTACTATTTATGCTTACAGGAACTGCGATTGGCTGAAAGAGATGAGGAACTAATTAATATTCATGCTTACAGGAACTGCGATTGGCTGAAAGAGATGAGGAACTAATTACTATTTATGCTTACAGGAACTGCGATTGGCTGAAAGAGATGAGGAACTAATTACTATTTATGCTTACAGGAACTGCGATTGGCTGAAAGAGATGAGGAACTAATTACTATTTATGCTTACAGGAACTGCGATTGGCTGAAAGAGATGAGGAACTAACAAAACTAAAGAAAGAATTAGATGAGCAGCGAAACGTTTGTGGTGACTTGGTAAATTGACATCCTTTCTATTATTTTTTTCTGTCTTACTCCCACTCATTCCCCCCCCCCTTTCTCCTTGTAACGATTTAAAACTATTGTACTTGAAAATTTGTTTTATCTATGTAGTATCATTCCACTGTATTGTTGTAACCCAGATATTTTATAGATGTACAATATTATTGGGTTTTACCGCGTAGTCGGCGAAGCAAGATTTCAAATGATACGCCAACCTTTAATTTTTCCTGCCTGTTTGACCCAGACGTGACCCGTTGGTTACCATGCTCGGGCTTTGAATGCGAGGGTTCGTGGTTCGCGGCTCGTTGGACGCAAATGTGGGTGTTATACGCCGGCGAACAAGAGTAGCCCATCGGTTGGCGGAGTGTACTTTTGACTAGCTTTCTTCTCTTTCACTTTTGTCTGCTAGTTCAAAACTAGATACGGGTATGCACTGATAGTTTTTTTGAGATATCTAAAATGGCAAGTTAGTCTATGAATGTGTATTTTTATTTATGCCAAAGTTACTATGAACCACTGACCAGTCAGTCAGCAGCACTCTATCAGCCGCCATCTACACTAAAGTATTGACTGCTACTCTTATAACCCACCCACTGTTTCAAGTGCGATACTTTGTGGTATCACAAAGATTCGAACCCAACTCGCTAGCTCCAAAATCCAAGCTTCCCCCCCCCACGTGGCACAGCGGTATGTCTGCGGACTTACAACGCTAGAATCCGGGTTTCGATATCCGTGGTGGGCAGAGCACAGATAACCCATTGTGTAGCTTTGTGATTAATTACAAACAAACAAACCAAAATCCAGTGCTCTACTACAGGACGAACCCGCCCCTCTTTCCCTTGTTCAAATGAAAATGTTGAAATACATTAACGTTCATCAGGTCATCCCTGTCCTCTCTGAATATTTTCCAGTAAATAAAACAAAACAAACAGTAAGGTTAAGAAACCTCTTGGTAGTACAGATCGGCGATCAAAGTTCGTGTTCCGTTCTTTTCTTTACATTTTCACATTTGAAGATGTAATGCTAGCACGCTCATCTTTTGTTCTGTTGAGAGATGGTTTTCTTAGCTTAATGGCAAGAGATTCCAGCATCCTAAGATGGAATTCTTCACGGACCTGGAGAATGACACGGAAGAAACTGGAGATAAGCACAACATTATATTCGTTCAGATAATGGTTGGTTATATACTATTGGTAATGCCTGGAGACGGCTTGAATGGGTAATGAAGAAAAACTTTAATATAAGTTTAACGTAATAGCAAATGTACAACGTTTCGACAAGGTTTTGTGATCATCAGGTACAATGTCGAAACGTTGTACATTTGCTCTTATGTTAAACTTATATTAAAGTTTTTCTTCATTGCCCATTCAAGCCGTCTCCAAGCGTTATTAGTCTCAAAGTGGGTTCCTCGTCATCGAATACTAATGGTGTCGTCGGTTTTGGTGTTACAGCGTTCTTTTAGCCGACTGCAGAGCCTTCTAGTGGTTGATCCCTGGAACTACTACTATATCCCATACTACTAGAGACTTGTTTTTAAATGCTGTGTATAGCAAGGTTTTAACTTAATTTTCTTTAAACATTGAAGGAATGAAGCTTTAAAGATGCGAATACAGCCCAGTGAAAGTGGGTTTATGATACACTTTAGTGATAAGCATGTTTTATTATTTAAGACATGAAATCCTATAAGAACCAGAATTTATCATTTATCAACTGTAAAATTTAAATTAGGATGTTTAAAAACTAGAGAAATTCCTTAACTGACTCTACATTGTTAAACACCACACACGTGTCTTCGACATATCTGAAACGTTCAGGACAGGTCTGTTTGTTTGTTTGTTATGGATTTCGCGCAAAGCTACACGAGGGCTATCTGCGCTAGCCGTCCCCAAGTTAGCCAACTCTTTTTACCAACGATTGACCGTCGCATTATAACGCCCCCCCACGGCTGAAGGGACGAACATGTTTGGTATGACGGGGATTCGAACCCGCGACCCACAGATTGTGAGTTGAGCGCCCTAACCACCTGGTCAAAAACACAGGGAAAGGTTAGTATGGCTGGAGCCCAAAGCCACTGCATTAATGTATTCATAGATTTTTATCGTTGGACATAAAATGTGATTGTTTTGTCCCCAAACGTACAAGTGTTTAAAAAACATCTTTAGCTGTACCCCGTACAATAAACTGTGTAAATATACGTATTGTTCTACCAGCAGGATAAATAATCAAATACTTGTCTAACGTGGTGTAATTCAGGTTTGTTTGTTTTTTAACTTGTGGTTCCTAGCACTTATAACTTACCTCTTTGTTGTTATTTTGTCCCAAATTCTATTACTTTAAAGTGAGAACAACATTTACGTGGTTCGGTATTTTTACACAATTGTTTGGAGAAAGACCAAAGATGAAGAAGAACCATTAGCTATTGTGTGAAAGGGGGGCGGACACTTTTTTTTTTTTGTTGTTGTTTTTGACAAGCAAGATGGCGCAGTGTGATTGGCTGCTCTTCAATATTCACGTCAACTCTGGTGGTAGAACGTGCTCGTTATATGTGTAAAACAGTTGAACCAGAACTGAAAGGTTATTGAACTTAATCCTCCCCGCTGGTGTTCTTACCTCTTAGGCGACGAGTGTTGTGTTTCTGTGCGTAAGAAAATCTTTATTTTGTTTATTTTTCAACGCAAAACAACACAATTGGTTATTTGACCTCTTCCCACCCTCTGTAAGAAATCAAACTCCCGATTTTAATAGCGTTGTAAATTCACAAAAGTATTGTTGACCTAATAAGCTACAGTTGTGTGGGAAGAAGTTGTAGGTGTTTGACTAGACATGCAGATGATATAATGCTACAAGTTCTTCAAAAATATCTATAGAATGATAGGTTTCTTTTTGTGGTGAATGTAAAAACACTTAAATACACCATTTCGATACCTCACTGCTATAAAGGCTTGGTTTGGTCTGATATTTCATTGGTGGTAGTGTCCAGGGTCACAGACACACCCCTAATGAAAGAATAGACCATTCCAAGCTTTTACTTGTTGTTAAACAAATATTTAAACAACTCTATTGAAATATAATTAATAGTTGCTATATTACTCAAATATGTAAAATTGGGGGTGCTATTGCACCTCCCGGTTCCGACGCTTCTGAATTATGCAAATTCACTAGTTTGTTTTGAATTTCGCACAAAGCTACACGAGGGCTATCTGCGCTAGCCGTCCCCAATTTAGCAGTGTAAGACTAGAGGGAAGGCAGCTAGTCATCACCACCCACCGCCAAAGCTTGGGCTACTCTTATAACAACGAATAGTGGGATTGACCTTCACATTATAACGCCCCCACGGCTGAAAGGGCGAGCATGTTTGGTGTGACGGAGATTCGAACCCGCGACCCTCAGATTGCGAGTTGAGCGCCGTAACCACCTGGTTTTTGTAATTAAGCACAAAGCTACACAATGGACTATCTGTGCTCTGCCCACCACGGGTATCGAAACCCGGATTCTAGCGTTGTAAGTCCGCAGACATACGCTGTGCCACTGGGGGGCCGTAACCACCTGGCCCAAATTCCCTAGAATCAGGAGTATTTGATAAATATTTTCCATCATATTTCCTCAGTTAAACAAATATACATTTTTTTTTACGTTAACCCTAGATGTGCATTTGTTAGTAAATTATAATGAAAGTGTTACACGAGGCTCGAAATGTCGCAAACCGTGTTTTTTTTGTTGTTTTTTTTCGTGTGTGATGATTTACGGTCTCGCTTGTGTCTTTAAAATGAAACAAAGTTTCTTTCAAATAACCTTCTACTCGCAAGTGAAGAAAACGTAAAGAAATGTGCAAATTTATTACGCAGTTAATGAAAGTTAATATATATATATTGATATGCACATGGTGCTGAGTAAGGATTGATGTTACACTTTTGTTTTATAAGTCAATTTTTGAGCCAAACCACGTTTTCCCCAGAGTATTGAGTTCCTGCGATTTTGTAATAAATTAGAGACAACCTGACAGTTAGTTGAGCGGCTGAATGCTAAGAATGAAATGTTAGTTTTTTTGTTTTCGTTTTCAACAGTAAGCTTTCATTAGATTTGTACGTTACCTTTATGCTGTTCTGACGGCATATTAAGAGGAAATTACAAAAGAGAGAGAGAAAAAAAAAACGTAAGAAGAGAGATTTGGTTTGAATTTCGCGCAAAGCTACACGAGGGCTATCTGCGCCGTCCCTAATATAGCAGTGTAAGACTAGAGGGGAGGCAGCTAGTCAGCACCACCCACCGACAACTATTGAGCTACTCTTTTACCAACGAATAGTGGGAATGACCGTCACTTATAACGCGCCCCCACGGCTGAAAGGGCGAACATGTTTGGTGGGACGGGGATTCGAACCCGCGACCCTCAAATTGCGAGTCAAGCGCCCTAACCGCATGGCCATGTCGGGCCTCTGCACGAGGGCTATCTGCGCCAGCCGTTCCTAATTTACCAGTGATAGACTTGAGGGAACGCAGCTAATGAACATCACCCACCGCCAACACTTGGGCTACTTCTTTACCAACGAATAGTGGGATTTACCGTCACATTATAACGCTCTCACGGCTGAAAGGGAGACTATGTTCGATAACGGGAATTCGAACCCGTGACCCACAGACTGCGAGTTGAGCGCCCTCTCTATCAGGCCATGCCAAGCCTAAGAAGAGAAGTACAGTAATATATTGGTGTCAGGAAACGCATTTGTTTTTTGTATTTACGATAAAGCTATTAGGTCTATCTGTCGATGTCCTTTATTTTGAACTACTGTCCCTAGCTATTAGGTCTATCTGTCGATGTCCTTTATTTTGAACTACTGTCCCTAGCTATTAGGTCTATCTGTCGATGTCATTTATTTTGAACTACTGTCCCTAGCTATTAGGTCTGTCTGTCGATGTCCTTTATTTTGAACTACTGTCCCTAGCTATTAGGTCTATCTGTCGATGTCCTTTATTTTGAACTACTGTCCCTAGCTATTA